TCCGCCCCACCCGAATGCTGAATGAATGTTGTGTTTTATTGTTTTATTTTTTTATTTACGCACTGTCTTATGTTTTATCTTGCACCCCCCTTCCCATGAACTGTAAGCCACCCTGAGTCCCCTCAGGGAAAAGGGCGGCCTATAAATAACAAATAAATTCTAAATTCTAAAATTCTAATTGTTCAATAAAGTCAAACTGAAGCTGTCAGAATCTCAGTAACAAATGAAGACCTTCAAGAGTTCTCTGATATAAGTATCTGTTTAATTTGTCTCGTATTCAGAACCGTGAAAAAGACACAGAGAGAGAGAGATTGTTACACAGAGGACAGTATGAAAAATGTTTAAAAAATGATTAGTGGTAAGTTATTACTTTAGTTATTTTGATATCAGATTTTAAAGGTATCATCAGCAAAAATAATAAATGTTTTTGTTAATTATACCAATATTTAAAAATTAAAGCACAGAAATTGTTCTGGTCCAAGCGTACGATCGCTCTTCTCAGACAGATAAACTTTACACAAAGCTTCAAGCAAACCAGATTTATTATCAGGCATTCTCAAATCAGTAACATAGTCATGAAGAGATTCTTCTGAATTAAACTTAATCTGTCCCATTTATGTGATATCATGAAAAAAATGATAAAATTACTCCCATGGTGAGAAAAGCATGCTGTTTCTACATTGGCTGGAGTTGACCAGGCTTTGAGCTGCACATACACAGTAAGCCTGCAGTGGCCAATCAGAAACACAGGTGTGACCATGTGACATAAAACTACATTTCTCAGAAGGCAAGACTGTATTACCCTAGAGGCAGTCCCTCAAAGAAACAGTAATTAATTCCTAAACTAACTTAAACAGTACACTCCCCGCCTGGAATTATAAATTCCACTATCAACTAACTTTTAACTAAAGTAATCATAAGCATAGCATCAAACAGTGCAAGAATGAGGTAGACACAATGCATACAAAGCTTGAGGTTCAATCTTCAAGATTGTTCTTCCTTCGCAGCAGTATCAGGTCAGTGATTAGCCTAAATATTGTAAACAATCTCTATATAATCTAGAATCTAATATTTTCTTAACTTTGTAATGTTTCTCCTTGTATTACTATAGGAGGAGAAGGTGGTTGAGTCTGTGGTCTTAACTGCTGGTTACAGTAGGCTACAATAGAAAACTGGGTGTATTTTCCCTAGAATTCTAGGTAGAGTGGGATGAACTGTTACTGGATTAATTATTTTTACTATTGGAAAAGGACCTAAAAACTTTAGTCCTAATTTTTTGCTAGGCATCTTCAATCTTATATATTTGTGGAAAGAAAGATTTTATCCCCCACACGAAATGGGGGTTGGAGTGAGTGATGTTTGATGGCTTGTTTTTTGTATTCTTCTGCTGTGGTTGCCAGAGCTTTTTTTGTATCCTCCCATCCCCTTTTTAAAGTATTCATCCATTTAGTCAAGGACATTGAGGAGGGAGGTTCTTGGCGCAGTTCTGACATGGGTACAAATTCCATGCCACTAGTAACTTGAAAAGGAGTTAATCCAGTGATTTAGTGTTGTTATATGCCACTTCTGTGAATGGTAATAAGTCCCACCAATTGTCCTGCTGGTCACACATGCATTCACAGATTCTGCTGCTCCATTTGTACTTGGATGGAAAGTCAAACTAAGTCCTTGTGTGAATCCAATGGCCTTTAGGAACTCTCTCCAGAACTTTGCAGTGAATTGGACTCCACAGTCAGAGATGATTCTTCTGGGTACTCTGTATAGCTGGTAGATGTGTTTGACAAACATTCTCACTAATTTCTTCGTTGAAGGTAATCCTGAGCAAGCGATGAAATGGGCTTGCTTGGAAAATAAGTTGATGACTGTCCAAATCACTTTATTTCCACTGCTGTCTTGGAGTTCTATAATGAAATCCATTGCTATCTATTCCCATGGTCAGCTGGTTCTGGCTACTTGTTGCAGTAACCCAGGAGGCTTCCAAGGTGGAGGGTCTTTAAGAATCCAAAGTGTCCTCCTAGCTTTGCATCGTGACTTCATTATAGTATCTCCAATCTCAAGGTGGTCGACATGTATATTTTAGATCCTTTCGAGGCTAGTTCTTCTCCCATCTA